GACTGAATTAAGAGGCCGTCCCTGATTAAAGACTCCCAAGAAGAATTCGACCACATCCAACCAAGCAAAATGTAAATTTCTTTAGAAAGTTGATGAGAATATGATTATGGTCGGTTTCAAAAAACGAAAAAAAAATAATAATAATATGATTATGGTCAAGGACAAGGACAAGTAGAGAAATTAATGACTTGGATATATTATTTACCAAACAATTACATGGATGACTAGTTTAATTTCACACAATTTCTTTCTGAAGAGTAGAAGAAAGTATATCTAAAATTCTATTTGTGGGGTAATAAATTACTTTTCAGAATATTCAAGATCGTATACTCGTAGTTCTTATGATTGAAGATAATCTCAACCTCAGTTTAATTTAAAAGACGACATTATATAACTTGTAAAACAAACATCTTCTCATTAGTTTGAGTTGGCAAGAAATCTATGCTTGCAAGAAAAGATTTAGGGATCATAATCCACAATAATTAATATTTAATACCTTAATTGAAGGGTCAATTACATATAGCTTTGGATGAGAACTAAGAACCGTTCAAGTCTTATTTTATATCATGATCTGGCAACTTTGTGGAGGTTTCTGTGGGGTGGGGTCATATAGTTGAAGATATAACTTGAATATGTAATTAAATGTTAGACTTTTAACGAAAGAATAAATAAATTTAGTTTATGCCTGAATAGAATTATTGAGAATTTAATTTAAATAAATTTTGTCTCTATATTTTTAAATTTAACATATTTAAATTTCAAATATGAGGATATCATCATATGATCCCAATTATAGCGGAAGAGACTTTCAATGCCATAATTTATGCAAAATGTCATTCAGAGCAATAATTGAAAATTTTGATGGAGGATCATTATATCAGCATAAATGATTATTAAAATGCAATTAAATCAAGGTGGATAACAAAACATAATGGACATTATTCCAAATGGCTTGCAGTTGGAGATTAGCCAAAACCTAAGGTCCAAATTGCTTCACACATTTTTTTTTTTTTTAATGACTCAGTTGTCCGAGTTTCGCCTGGCTAATCCTGAGGAGTGGTGGTTTTCCCTACTGGTTCGACACCCGAGTAAATTCGACCACCCGGGTAAATTCGAATACGATCACAACTTATAAACACTTGGACTGGACATTCGGGAAGCGGTTCCCTCCTTGTGGACATCTCTTTACTACGTGCGGACGGACCCCATGAGGGACAAAGCGCACCATAATTTTGCCACCACATGACATCTGCCTTCCAATATAAATGTTGTCTTCTAACTGCTGCGTGGATTCGAACTTTCGATACTTTGTAGAGAACCTTCCTATTTTACCACCGTATCATGTCCGTATGGGCATTGCTTCACTTTTTAACTGGATGGGTAGTAGGGCAGCAGACGCCAAAAGTGACCTAAAATAATTGTACGCTCAACTCTACAAAATGCTATTAGTGCAGGATTCCCTGTAACGTAAATATCTTGTGATCTTTGACTGCGTTTTACAATGTTTATCCATCTTCTAAAAGCTTATAATGCCCACTCGGAGAGAACCCACCGCTGGGTTCTCCTGCCACATCAGCAGGTGGGCAGTCTTATCCTGCCCACCGTGGGC